ACACAGAGGTACGTGGGAAGGAAGAGGCCCGCATGGCGTGGCCACAGCCGGAGGCCAGAGTGAGTCCTCCCCACCAGCGTGGGCGCCAGGCAGGCACGGTTCTGGGGTTCTGGCCTCCGGGACCGCGGGAGAACCAGTGTCTCCTGACTGAGGCACCTGGCGTGCAGTCCCTTGTCACCCGGCCTGGGACATGGGGCCCTGCGCTGGCAGAAGGGGCAGGGCTGTGAGAGCCGCCTGTGGCTTGGTCATCACAGCAGTGGGTCCCCGCCTGCTCCAGGCTCAGCCCTGTGCATGGCTTCTCAGCTGTCACCTCAGCTACGACCACCATGGACGGGAGATGGGGCACAGGGCTCAGGCTCACAGCCGGGCAGCTGACTGGGACTCCTAGGGCCCGCGGCCTCCCAACCCGCTGGCCAGCCCCTTCCCGGCCAGGCTTTGCGTCTGAGCCACAGACTGCGGGGGTGTGATGTGGCCAGATTCCTGGGCAGCCCCACCCGGCCCCGGAACCTGGTGGCACCTGCTGCCTGCCGACATGCTCCTGGGGGTGGCCTGGCACTGTCCGGCCGTCTAGTCTGGCAGAGGGACTGCGTCCGGGCTGTGGCTGGACCGTGGAGCTGTGAGCTGGCCGTTGTCCTCCCTGCTGCAGCGTCCTGTGGACCACGGCACTGGCACCCTCACAGCCAGACGGGCAGCAGGGACAGCCACAGGGACAGGGGTGGCGTGGCTGGGGTGAGCAGGGAGAGACGACACTCGGAGCCCACCAGGAGTGACGGAAACACAGACGAGCCGAGGCTTCGTGGAGCACAGAGCAGATTGCCGGGCGTCGTGGGGGACGTCGGGAGAAGTCCGCCCCAGCTCCCGGCTCCCGGCTCCCAGCACAGAGCAAGCAAACCCAAACAGCAGGCCTTGGCGCTGCCACGGGCCGCCAGGCAGCGGCGGGGTGGCTCCTGGTGCGCCCTGGAGATGGCAAGAGCTCTCGTCTGGGGGCGCCAGGTCAGCCCACTGTGGAGCCCAGGTGTCGCCCTAAACCTCGGGCACGGGGTCAGCCCACCGCGGAGCTCAGGCACTGCCCTAAACCCTGCTCTCTTGGCCCCCAGCTCCCGACCTCTGACCAGGGTGGCAGCGGCCCCTCTCTTCCCTAAGGACCTACCCCCAGGCCCGCCCCTGCCACCCCCGTGGCCCCCATCTCTCCCACTCCAGGCTGCCACTGCTGCATGGGGCGGGGCACAGGGCACCCTCTGCAGGCCGCTGCCCTGTCTCCGGGAGCTCTTCTACTCTGACCCAGCCCCTGGCTTGCCCAGGGCATGAGGGTTCTGACCGGAGTCAGACAGCACTCTGAGATAGCACGCTTAAAGCAGGTGTGGTCATTGCTCTGGCCCTGCCCACTTGTGGCTGTGACAGGTATGCCCAGCCTCTGAGCTGGCGAAACACCACCCCACAGAACCACAGGAAGAGGCTGGAGTCCTGTGGGCGTGGCCACCCTGCCCTGGGCTGGCCACCCCGAGAAGGCGCCCAGGAGTGACCCGGGAGAAGGAAAGTGCAGCTCTCCTTCCCCGAGGTGAGCGTGGTGGGGGCAGGCCACTGGCCTCAGCTTTATAGGAGGAACCTCAGGCTGGACGGCCGGCCTTCCTCACCAGCAAGCACGCCAGCCGAGCTGCAGGGACCGGTGGGCCAGCTCGTGCACACGTCTGTTTCCATCGGGGTCCACACGGGCGCGCCCGATGTTCCGTGAAAGAGCAGCAGGTACGTGACCACGCTGCGCCGCCTGCGCTCCAATGGTGGGCAGCCGCTGGCCACCCGCTGAGGTTCACCTGTGGGCCCCGGTGGCTGGGCCAAGGGGGCCGGACCACAGGGCTGGCAGCGCCTTCACGTCTCGTACACACAAGTTGGAAAAAACACACCAGGCACAGGTATGTGAGTGCCCAAAATCCCAAGAGGAGAACGGAGAAGGGACTGCAGGGTGGCCAACGCCCTGGGGGTGCTTTCCCACTTCCCCTTCTCACCCTGGTGCACACGCAGATAAATCAGTCCGTGTCATCCAGCTGGTGTGAAATAAGGAGGGCGGCCTCGGCTGCACCCGCCACGTTCCGGGCTTGGGCCACGGGAAGCTAGCAGCTGGTGTTGTGCGGTTGGGACTGCTCCCGTGAGTACACTCACGTGTACAGCCACAAGTGCACACCCACGAGCACACGTGTACACACCCATGAGCACATATACACCCACGAGCATATGCCCGCCATCACACAGGTGTGTGCACCCATGAGCACACACGTATAAGCACACACACCCATGAGCACATACGTGTGCACACCCACGAGCACACGAGCACATATATACCCATGAGTGCACACATGCATATATGTCCACAAGCGCACACACATGAGCACACGTGTACACACCCATGAGTACACACATGCAAATACACCCACAAGCAAACATGCATGTGAACACACTCATGAGCACAGATGTGTACACACCCACGAGCATATATACACCCATGAGTGCACACATGTATATATGCCCACAAGCACACATCCATGAGAATACGCCCAAGAGCACACACACGTGTACACACCCGTGAGGACACACACATACACACCCATGAGTGCACACATGTGTATACACCCACGAGCAAACACACATGTGAATACACCCATGAGCACACACACATGTACACACCCACAAGCACAAATACATGCACGTGTGTGCACAAACATGCACAAAGCAGCGTCAGGTTTCAGGGTTCCTGGGCTCAGCAGATGAACCCTAACTGCCCTGGGGAGTGCGGCCCTCGCCCTCGTCCCATTACAAAGAATGCCGTGTGAGCCTCTTCAGGCAGAGGGCTCTCTCTGCCCTTTGGATCCCTACTGTTTAGACTGCGGTGAGTTCCAGAAGAGGCACTTCTTCTCATTGCCCGAGGGTGCGTGTGCTCCAAGTGTGAGAAAGACCCTCCGTGGGGCCTGGTCAGGCCCCAACCCTTTCCCTCCATGTCTCCGTCCCTTCAGGATCCTAGACACACATGCACCTGGCGTGTTTCTCACACCACCAGGGCTGGGATTCGAGCTGCAGTCGGCCATGTGGGATCCATTCCCAACCCGCAGCGCTAGCCACTGCGTTCAGGGGCTGGCCTGAGACCTCTGATTCAGAGAGCAGACGCTTGCTCCAGCTCCTCATCCAGGTCACCAATGGAGGGCCCCAGGGCGGGCCAACAGGGGCGCCTCATCACACCCTCACCAACGGGCTTCTCGGACGGAACCGGTACTTCCCAGGAGAGAAACACACGGCAGGCGGCCCACTGATCACGCCGGGGCCTTCCGCCATCACAACCGAAGCCTCCATTTCTGACGCTGCGGAGGGTCCGGGACACGGAGAGCCAGAGCCGGTCCCGAGAGCCTGGTGTCGGGGGAGAGGAGGTCCCTGACGAGCCGGGCCCTCTCAACAACCGCTCCCCAGGCAGGCCCCGGAGGCGCACTTGGTCAAGGATTTCCAGGTCGTGGCTGTGCTGGGAGCTGGGGGACCGAGGTGCACACCACGGGCTTTAGCAGGTGAATGGCCTTCTAGGAACCGGGCCCTGGACTCTGGACCCCAGGGAATCCACCCTGGGGCCTGCGTTGCGCTGGCCAGCCCACAGCCTACACGTGCGGTTCTCCAATGCTGCCACTAGAGGGGTCCCACGAGCCAGTGCAGCACCACCAGGGGGCGCTCTGGCTGCGCAGGGCCGGGACCAGGGCTGTAGGGCTGCCATCCCTGGCCTGGCCCCTGGTCAGAAGCATCCTGGCTCAGTGACCCTCATCTGGCACAGAGTCCTGCCATTTCCTCTTACTTGTGCTCTCAAATACTTGAGACAAACGCTAGCCATTCTCCCGAGGGTTTTCATGGCCCACATCTTATCAGGGATAAGATCACAGCAGAGCACAACTCCCTCCCTCAGAAGCCAGCAAATGGCAGGGCCCTCCTCCCCGCCTTTGTCCCGGGCCTGCAGCGGCCCACTGAGACCTCTGTGTGCTGGTGTAGAACTGCAGGCGCAAATCCCCACGCGACGTGCGTGCTGGCCCGCGGCCCCAGTCAGCCCCCCCTCCGATACGCCCCGTCCCTTTCTATAAAGGGTAGCATTGAGACCTGCCTCACAGGGTCTGCGGACAGTGCTGGAGCAAAAGCACAAAACCCACAGCACACCAGCCCTGTGTCCGGGCAGCTCTGGCCACCGTGCCTGGCACACACCTGCTCACAGCACAGATCATGCACAGCGGAAACGGCTTCCCCACCGTCTGGCACCACCCCACTGTCCGCCAGAATCTAGCGAGCACAGGGCCACACCAAGCACAGGGAGGGCCCGTCCCCTGGCCCCGCTGCTGTGGAGCTTACAGGAGCCCTGAAGACACTGGGTGAGGACACTGGGACAAGCCTCCCCCGCGGGCTGTCCCCGAGCTCCTGCCCCAGGGAATCCACAGCAGCAACCTCCAGCCCCCTCTGGCTCCCTGGGGTGTGTGGCACTGCCAAGGAGGGGAAGCGGCCAACCTTCCCCTGGGGCCACCTTCCAGCCTCCTACTCTCGTGCATGCAGCAGGGAGGCGGCCCTCTCCCGGTGCAGGCAGGCTGCGGGCCGAGTGCGGAGCCTGGCTGGGCACTGGGCACAGTGGCAAGCTGGTCTCCACCTGTTCTACCTTAACGACACCACCCAGGCCTCCGTGGGCTGGGGAGGAGCCAGCACCCCCTGCCCCTCTGCCATGAGGGGCCTGGCCTCGGGCTTGGGCTGGTCAGCCTTGGCAGGATGATGTAGTCACAGGTGGGGCCACAAAGGGAAGGGTGGGCACACGTGGCACCCCCTGGCATCACCGGGTGAGCTGGGCAAAGTGATGGCACGCTGGTGCCAACCCTCACCCTAGGGAGGGCTGGCCGGTGCCCTGTGAGTGTGGAGTGCCTTGGTGGCACACTGACCGCCTCGCACATGTCCCTGTCAGCTGCAGGGCCGCCCCGGAGCTGGGTCCGCCAGGGACTCACCTGCTGTCACTTTCCAGAAACACGGAGCCACTGCTGCCTGCCAGGGCGGCGCTGATGGGCGAGAGGCAGAAGGGTGAGGAGAAGGCGTCGGAGTCTGAGTCAAAGGAGCTGTCCCTGCTCACGCCATCGGCCGACAGTGCCAAGGAGCCCTCCTCCTCCCCGGCCTCAGGCTGCAGCTCCCGGCCTTCCTCTGCCCCACCAGATGGGCCGGCCACGGACAAAGCCCTGGAGCAGCTGTGGGTGGACGGCGAGGCCGTGAGGGTGCTGTCCAGGCCCGGGCCAAGGGCCAGGGCCAGCTTCTCCCCTTCCTCTGGCGAAGGGCCGACACGCACGGCACCCTGGACGCTCTGGGCCACCACCAGGACGTCGCTGTCTCCGGGGGTCAGGGTGGGCTTCGGCTCCGTGGGGGAGGGCAGGCGGGGGGCCCCCAAGCTCTGAGCCCGGCGGCCCCGAGGACGGGGCACCTCGCGGACCGGAGAGCTCTCAGGGGTGACATAGCGCAGGGCCTCCTCGTCCTGTCTCTGGATCCGGGCGTTGGGGACCCAGGCCAGGATGACGGTGGCCCCCAGCAGCTCATCCTTCTCCATGTACAAGCACAGGTAGCCTGGGGGGACAGGGTGGCAGGTCAGGACAAGGCCAGTGTGCAGCTGGCACCTGTAGTGAGCCCCAGCGCTGTGGCACTGCACAGACCAGGCTCCGGATCCAGCCCTGGGGTGCTCTTCCAAGGATGCGGCGAGCCTGCGCTGGAGCCCAGCCATGCACGGGCACCTCCCGGGTCCAGGGCCCAGGCCCAAGCGCGGAGCATTCTCCTGCCCCCGCAGCCCTCCCCGGCCCTCCCCAATGCCCGGCTAGAGCCTAGTCCCACAGCGCCAGCCTCCGCGCTGCAGCTGGGCCAGATCTCCTTTCTCTTTATTTTTTTGGGGGGAGAGTTTTATGCTATAGGGCGCATGCGCTGGCCAGAAAGACAGAGAGACATAGAGACAGAAAGCGAGAAATCACCCCCCAGGGGATGGCCACGCCGCAATCCCTTCTCCTCCATTCTCCTCTCGGGATCTTGGGCACGCACGCACACACGCCCGGCGTGAGTTTTAAGCCACCGGGTCCGGGACGCGAACCGCGGTGGACTACGTGGGAGTCCAGCGACATAGCCATTACGCCAACTGCTGGTCCCCAGATGTCCTTTCTCAAACGGCGCCTTGTGGACAGAGGGGCCGTCTGTCATGGCTGCTTTCTGGCATCATGGCTAGCCACCACTTGCTAAGAAGGCTGGAGAAGACAGAGTCCCAGGGCCACAGTGAGAGGGTGGCTGCTCGGTTTTGCAGGGTGGCATTTCCTAAGCAGTGCCACATCATCTCAGGACACTCCGACCCCTGGCCCAGGCACTGACCCAGGCCTCCTCCCCTCTGCGGAAAAGCCTCCAGGAGGGAACCGGGGCCCTCCACTTCACCCCTGGGGCCCCTGGGACACCTAGGGGGTCAGCCAGCACAAGGCTCACATGAGGGGAGCCAGGGGTTTCCTCACCTCAAGTCGCTTCGGGGTAGAATGGGAGCCCGGGCTGCTCCACCTCCCCACCTCGCCTCACCGAACGTGGCCCGCGGCCCCGCACTCGGCTTCGGGGCACAATGGGAACCCAGGCTGCTCCACCTCCCAACCTCGCCTCACCGAACGCGGCACGTGGCCCCCGAAGGCTGCGCTCTGTTGGCTTTTATGCCCAGAACGAGTCACACCTTCAGACCCAGCCCAGAACTCCATTCCCCACCCATCCCCATGGAGTGAGGCACCCGCAGGCTCAGGGCCACCCAGTGGCCTCCCTCCTGGAGCATACTCCGGGGGAAGGACTTCCTTGTACACATGGCCAGTGGCCTCCAGGGCTTGCTCTTAGGCCCCGCCTGTTAGGTAAGGGCAGGGGCAGGAGGGGCT